GTACCGAGAGGGGACGAGCAGTAGTAGCGTCGATAAGTCAAAGTTTAAGTGCAGTTCTTTGCTGGCACCGCGCGCTTCGCGAGGCGTCGTCGTCGGGTCGGTGGCCGCGCCCCAAAGTGTTGGCTGCGGACGCCCCTTTCCGTTTTTCTCTCCTCCTCCTCTTTCTCCCTCTCCCTCCTTCTCCTTTCCCCTCACACACACACACACACTTCTCTCTTCTCCTCTCGAACCCTCGCGCGCGGGCACCCACATCACCCCCGACCCACCCCGCCCCGCCCGCAGCCCCTTTGCATGCCCGCCCGCGGGGCAGTAGACCCCTCCGTCTCTCTTCAAGACGTGTCTCACTGCCCACTCAGAATGGCCCCCAGCCTCGCCCCTTAGCCCCCCTCTCTCTCTCCCTTAAATCCCCCGCACTGGACCAAACCCCCTTGCGGAAGAAAAAAAAATTGGAGAGGGGGGGAAAATGATAAAAAGGCAATCGACAGCATGTCAACACAACGTGTTGGGCGCGTGGCATGCGGGAGGGTCGCGTTATGGACGGGCCCAAGGGGCAGTAAGGGAGAGGATGGGTGGCGTAGCGTAGCGCAGCCCCAACGCGCCGGGAGCGCGAGGTGAAAGGGATTTGTGGAGGAACATTTGTCATCCTTCTTGATATGCATGTCCGACGACGGGCGACCCCGCCGGTTTATTTTGGATGGAGCAGAGTGGCCGAAGTAGACCGCGAGCGCCGCGTGGCCAGCAGTGCGGCGGGAGGAAAAAGCAGGAAGGAATGGTGGAGGAAATCAGGGGGAACGGCAGGAGGGTGGGTGCGCGGGGTTTAAGAGGAAAAGTCGACCTTTGTATGCCGGCGTGCGGGCATATCGCCAGGATTGAACGCGCGCTCGGGGGACTCCCCCCCCCCCCATTGTGCATTTAAATTGATTAATCCTTGTTTTCCAATTGAGTCTTTGAGCGCGCCCCGTCCGCGCGGCCCCTCTGCTCCGGGCGCTCCGGGCCCCTCGCCAGCCCTCGCCAGCCTCCCCACTGAGCCCTGCAGCCCGCCGGGCGCCACCCAAAGGGACAAATAATTTAATCCCGACCGTGGCGAGGGCGGGGCGGGGCGTCGGGGAGGAGGGCGCAGGAAAGGAGGGGGGGGGGGCGAGGCCCCGTGGGGCGTCATGGGCGCGGCTCTCCCTACCTCCGCGTTGGGTGGAGGGGAAAAAAACAACATTCAGAGTGGAACAGCGAATAGGTGTGAGCGTGTGTGTGTGGGGAGAGAGAGAGAGAGAGAGTGTCGTCATTCATTCGCTCTCTAAACACGCGGTTTTCATTTGGGGCTGCCTACTTACGTCGTGGTTGTGTTCAGCAGCGGGCGCAGAGTCCGTGTGGAATGTGAGAGGGAGGGAGGAAGGGAGCGAGAGAGAGGAGAGAGAGAGAGAGAGAGAGAGAAAAAAAGAGAGAGAGAGAAGACGTAAAAGAAGAGGGGATTTGCCCCACTTGAAAGAAATTAAACCGGCCCGCTGGTGAGGTGTCGGGCGGCTATGGTGCACATGTTACATCACGCGGTAGAAAATTAGTTGGCAGTTGCTTGGTCCCCTGGGAGAGCGGGTGCGCGGTGGGACACGATAGACTCTCTCGCTCGCTCGTCTCCTTTCGTCTCCTCTTCTCTCCCTGCAACACGTCCCTAGGGGGGTACTACATGGAAAGAGGGGGGGGGGGTAGACCAGGCCCTTCCCATAGCCGGCACGGGCGCTCCTTAAATTGATTGTTTGGAGTCGATCTGCTCTGGAAAAGGTTCATGGGGGGGAGGGGCCGGTGCCCGTGCCGTGGGGAGGCGATGATGCCTCCTCAATTCACTTTACCGCACACGAAGGGCAAGGGTGATTCGGTCCAGCTCGTGTACTTTTCTACTTACTTTGATATGTCGAATTGTGCTGCTGCGCCGAAGACAGATGAAATAATGTATGTTAGCTTGTGAAGACGCAAAAGCCTGTATTTTTTTTTTTTTTTTTTAAGCGCATTGCAATTTTTTTTTCCTAAAATCACACGGTTCAGAATTTTACACGCGAGGAAAAATAATAAGCTTTGCATTTAAAATGCAACGTTTCAGCGGGTGTACATGTTCGTTTAGGTGTTATCGAAACAATTTAACATTTGCGTCGAGTGGCGACAGCCGGCCTAACGCGCATGTTGCGAACACACTGTATGGACGCACGTCGGTAAAGTGGAAGTTTCGAGTTTAGCACCCACATTATCCACGCCTACTCGCAGTCCTCCACCCCCACCCCCCTCTCTCTGTCTCTCCCTGTCTCTCTCGCTCTCACGCAGTATAATCCGCCCGCTCGTATTGTGGATTGAAACGTTTTTGCGTTAATCGAGCGTTAAGTTGTAATCAGATGCCGGAGTGTTTCCGCTCCCCTCTTCTCTCCTCCGTCCCCAGGGGTACGAGGCCCGCAGGGGGTGGTGGCGGGGGAGGGTGGGGTGGTAGGTGGTCAGTACAATCAATGCTGGTGCTAACTGGCATGTGTCCGATCACCACACAAGCAGCGCTCTGACTGATGAGTTCTGGCTGCGGTCGATCGGTCAGCGGCCTTCAGAGGGCACTTTCGACGTAATGATTTTGCCTTATAATCTCCCCCATGAGCTGCGACGCTATTGCGAGAGCTGAATGGTCTCGATATTTCAGTAGCCTCTGATTAATGCTTTTAAAATTTTTCTCTAGCTGGTAGACTACTTCACAAATAATAAGATATGTAAATTTACGATGAGAATACCTTATTGTCATTTAACTTCGACCAAGAAAATAATTACCCAGTGATTTCTCGCTTTCATATTTACGGCGAGGTTTTTTTTTCACCGTGCACATGTCGTGCCCAGTCAGGAACAAAGGAGCGTGCTCCGCTCGCAGTGGGACAGTCCTGGTTCGCGAGCGTCCCCCGGAGGGACGCCATGAGATGTTCGCCATGGCTGGGCGAGAGCGGGGGCCGAGGTCGGGTAGGGAGGAGGGGGCAGTTTATTTGGTGTTGTGGCGTGTAGTATGTGGGCCCGCGGGGTGTGTCTGCACTGGCTTTGGGTATATGATGCGCGCCCCGCCACGCTCCGCCACGCCCCGCTACGCCCCGCCACCCTGGTCGGAGTCGTAAACAGCCTTGAATTGTATGCCCCGCGTGCAGGGACCCTGGGCGCTCCGTGACCGCCGCGCCGCCGCCGCGAAGCACCCGCAGGGAATAAAATGGAGAACGCCTGTAAACAAAAGTACATGTAAGGAAAAAACTGCCAACCCAAAGACAGGACGTGGGAGTAAGAAAACAGACGACATCTTCGATGTGCCCCGCCTCGGTCAGCCCCGGCCGCCACCCTGCGCTGCCCCGGTAACGTCCTGTTCTGTCGGGTCAGTGGGGTGAGACGGAGAGAGAGATGAGGTAGTTGCCTGGAGTAAACCAGAAAAAGGGAGCAAGTGGAGAAGAGGATGAAAAGAAGTAAGTAGTGCTAGTAGCACTGCTGCGGGGAAAATAAAATAAATGCTGGAGAACGAAAGCCCCCCTGGCTCCTCCTGGAGTAGAAGCAGTGAGGAGCGCCAGGCCGGGGCAGGGCGGTGAATGCTGAGGCGGAGAGGTCCCTGGAAAGGGGAGGTAGGTAGGAAGGGGTAGGGATGGGGGAGAGGGAGGAGGAGGTGAAGAGGAACGCCGGGGGGCCCATGGTCCCGGCGAAACGCGAGAATAACCGGAAATTCGAGTTATGGTCGGGTGAATGAGGCTTCCCACCGGAGGGGGTAAGAGAGGTCCCACTCTCCCCCGCTCTCTCTCGCTCCCTCCCTCTCTTCCTCTCTCTCTCTCTCTCTCTCTCTTCTCCTCTAAGCCTCTTTCTGTTTCTGTCTCCCACCCCTCTCCTTCTCTCCGGGAGAGAGGTGCAATCATAAGCCCGTACAGCACACGGCCGTATTATGCCGAGGTGTTTCCAGGGAACGAGGTGCGCCCCCGGCAGTCTGCATGTCTAGGGGGTTGGAGGGTGAGATAGTGAGAGAGAGAGAGTTGGGGGCTGCTCCTCTCTCTTTCCGTCCTGCTGTCCTCCACCCTCTGTACACCCTGTCAACCCCTCGTCCCCTGGAGGGGAAGGAAAAAATGCCTCTGCAAATGGTCCACACGATGGTTTAAAATAACAGCCTTGCGCCTTGCGTTTGATGAAGTTCGAGAAAATCAAGCAACACCTAGTTGCTGTATGGTGGGTTTCTGCTTGGTGTTTCCCAAACAGCATGGAAATCGGAACATACCGTGTTTATCCTCCTATAACGTCGGAAAGCCGATTCGTAATAATTTTGTGATTTAAGAATTTAAAATCGTAACCTTCCAAACATTATTTCTCGCGGAAAATTTTCCCGTGAAGCCCATACGCACCAAACTCTTTCACATCGTGGTCCCCCAGCATGTATAATCTGCGGTGGACTCCACGGACGGTGCGGTGCTTACAGGAGGGGTCTCGGCGTGCATGCACAGGCGATCTGCTCAGCGTTATCTACTGGTGGCGCGTATGGCGACTGCTTGGGCCCCTCTTCATTCCGACAAAAGCGGGGGCGGCGCGGGGGGTGGCGCGTCGTGCCGCGGGGG